GAAAGTTCTTAAACCTGAGGAACTTGATCTTGTGCTGGAAGCTTTGGTAGTTGCCTCTACAAAAAATAACAACAATGAGAGAATCACTTCGAAATTATTACATTTTGAAATTCATATGAATTATGCCTATAGATTCTTTTTAGTTGAAGGACTGCCAAAAAAAAAATTTGCCAGGTATTAAATAATATAAGCAGAAAGTTCTTAAACCTGAGGAACTTGATCTTGTGCTGGAAGCTTTGGTAGTTGCCTCTACAAAAAATAACAACAATGAGAGAATCACTTTGAAATTATTACATTTTGAAATTCATATGAATTATGCCTATAGATTCTTTTTAGTTAAAGGGTTGCCAAAAAAAATTGCCAGGTATTAAATAATATAAGCAGAAAGTTCTTAAACCTGAGGAACTTGATCTTGTGCTGGAAGCTTTGGTAGTTTTGCCTACAAAAATAAATAACAACAATGAGATGAATCACTTTGAAATTATTACATTTTGAAATTCATATGAATTATGTCTGTAGATTCTTTTTAGTTAAAGGATTGCCAAAAAAAATTGCCAGGTATTAAATAATATAAGCAGAAAGTTCTTAAACCTGAGGAACTGGATCTTGTGCTGAAAGCTTTGGTAGTTGTGCCTACAAAAAAAATAACAACAATGAGATGAATCACTTAGAAATTATTACATTTTGAAATTTATATGAATTATGCCTGTAGATGCTTTTTTAAGGGAGAAATTCCCATGCTTCAATTTATTCTGAAAAATAAAAAGATTGCTATATATTTTGACTCACAAGAAATGCCAGAAATGTAGACACCTATGTGTTATACATAATGTATTAAGACCCTATGATAACATACATTTGATGTCATACTCTGCCATGGAAATGAATGTGAGACAAAGTTAATTCAAAAAACTTTCTTTTCAGTTGTTCCGTATCATTGCTATTGAAGGGCAAAGAAATAAAAAATCTAAACAAAAAAGACAAAAAGACCCCCTTTTTACCTTTAACAATACATTTTGGGATCTCTGGCTTCCAAGTGTTGTCAGCTCCACAGACAATAGTGTTGCTGCCTTCTAGCTGAAATCCCTCATTGCATTCGAATGTAACCTCTGCTTTGTATAGAAATTTTTTTTCCAATCCGGACACCACTCTTCCATTCTGGACTACTGGAAAGTTACATTTGACCACTGGTAAGTGAAGAAAGTCCAAAATTAATGGGAAGTGTTTCAACAGTGGAAAGAAAAACTAGTGCAAACTAGTACCTTCCCCTGGGAACAAACAGGCATATGCTAATTTCCCTTTAACAGTAAGGCAGAATGCTAATTTAAAAAGTACTTTATTTGTTTATTAAATAAGTATTTAAATTAATTGATTTTTTTTTTTTTTTTTTTTTTTTTTTTTTTTACAGAGAGAACACGGGAGACAGACATAGAAACATTCCTGAGGGTGAAACATTGATCAGCGGCCTCTTGCACACCCCCTACTGGGGATCAAGCTCAAAACCCAGGCATGTACCCAGGAATGGAACCATGACCTCCTGATTCATAAGTCAATGAGCCACACAGCCAGGCCTATTTGTGCATTTTAATTCCAGGTAAATAGATACAGAGATATCGAACAACCCTTTCTCACCTAGAACAGACTGTCATTATAGATGATTGTGTTCCTATATGTTTTTCCATTACTGACAAGTTTTGAAAAGGCCTGATTACCACATACAATTTTCAGGTAAATTCAAAAGCAAGTTTTGATGCTCTTAAAAAAAAAAAAAAAAAAAAAAGATTATCTCTCCCCCCCCCCCCGCCTGAAATTTAGCTGACACTGACTTATCGATAGTATCCTGATCTAGAAAGGCAGGAAAGGCTCTTGTATGAAGATAATGCTTGAGCTCAAGGTAAAAAGTTGAAAAGAAGGTAGCCATGAAAACATATGCAAAGAGAAAGTTATCAGGTATCAACAACATGTAAGAACTGGGATGTGTGAGAAATAGAAAGGCCAGTGAACTTGAGGTCATGTTTTCCAAATATTTTGGACTGAAACTCAGAGATCAAACCCCACATTTTATATTGAAATCTCACAGCTCTGAGATAAAGGTAAAACTTAATAATTAGCCTTCATACCCATGGACTCAGGTATTCCCCATTCTGTTCTACTTCTTTCAAAGTAAAGTGTGGGGCAGGACCCTCTGGATTGATTCCAGGATCTAGAAATTGGAAAAATCAAAAACAACAAAACAAAACACTGGGCTGGGCAGTACATACAAGAAAACACCTTCTGAGATGAAATCTGAGTGATCATAGGGTCCATAAGGCAATGCTTTTAAACCAGAAGAGTGCACTTCCTCCTCGCCTGGGGACCTGAATCAGGATCTTTGCCCCCTGAAGAACTTCCTTTAGCAACTCTGGTAGTGCAGGCAGGGTGGTGACAATCTTTTTTTTTTTTTTTTTTTAAATATATTTTATTGGTTTTTTACAGAGAGGAAGAGAGAGGGAAAGAGAGTTGGAAACATCGATGAGAGAGAATCATCAATCAGCTGCCTCTTGAACATCCCCTACTGGGGATGTGCCCGCAACCAAGGTACATGCCCGGGACCTTTCAGTCTCTAGGCCTATGCTCTATCCATTGAGCCAAACTGGTTTTGGTTTCGGCAAATCCTCTTAGCTTTTATCTCAAAACCTTTGTTGTTTATTCTCACCTGAGGACATGTTTTTATTGACTTTAAACAGAGAAGGAAGAGAGATGGGGAGAGAAAAGGGAGAGAGAAGAGAGAGAATGTAAGGAGTACATATCCCTATCTCATTTCAATCTCAATGAGAAATAAAGTGTAATGTCAGCTGTGTGATTCTTGTAGGTGCTTTTATGAGGTTGAGTGAGGTCCCTTCTATTCCTAGTTGACTCAGTGTTCTGTCAAATGCCTGTTTAGTCCCTCCCATTGCATTTACTTGGAGAGTTTGTGTAGAGCAGCTATTGTTAATACTGAAATGATGGTACAATCCCTAGTGATGGCTGGGGCCTGCACTTCTCTTTGTGTGATTTAAGTGTCACATTTCTTGGCATAAAGTTGTACATGTTATTTGCTTATTGTCATTTATTTATTTATTTATTATTTTTTCTTAATATAATTTTTGATTTTTCACAGAGAGGAAGAGAGAGGGACAAAGAGTTAGAAACATCGATGAGAATCATCAATCAGCTGCCTCTTGGCACACCCCCTACTGGGGATGTGCCCACAACCAAGGTACATGCCCTTGACTGGAATCGAACCTGGGACCTTTCAGTCTGCAGGCCAACGATCTATCCATTGAGCCAAACCGGTTTCAGCTGCTTATTGTCATTTAAAAGTATGCAAGATATTTAGAGATGTTCTCTTAAAAAACTTATTTTTTTAAAAATCTTCACTCAGGATATTTTTTTAATTGTTATTTAGAGAGAGTGAAAGGGAAGGAGGAGGGGGAAGAGAGAGTTAGAGAAACATTGATGGGACAATGATTCATCTATTAGTTGCCTTCAGCAGATGCCTCAAGCAGGTAGGAGATTAAGTCTGCAAGCAAAGTACATGCCTTGGATCAGGAATTGATGCTCTAAGCACCACACACTTTTTTCATTCTTGATATTGGTCATTTGTGTCTTCTAGTCATTTGTCAGACTTGCTATAGCTTTATTCATTTTATCGATCCTCCCCAAGAACCATGTGCTGGTTTCAATAATTCTACATTTTTTCAATTTTATTGATTTCTATCTTTATTATTTCTTTCTGTTTTCTTGTTCTGATCCAACTTGCTCTTCCTTTTTAATTCCTTAAAGTGAAAGCTTAGATTCTTGAGCTGAAACTTTTCTATTGTTCCAATATATGTATTTGCTATGAATATTCTTCTAAGCAATGCTTTTGCTGTATTTCACAAATTTTGATATTTCAATATATTGTATTTTCATTAAATTCAAAACACATTCTAATTTCCCTTGTGACTCCTTGTTTTATCCATGATTAGTTAGAAATGTCTTCATAATTTTTAAATATTTAGGGATTTTACAGATATCTTTACTTCTATTTCTATATTCATCCCATTGTAAAGATACTGTACTGTAAATAATTTCAATTTTTGAAATGAAAAAAACGTTTGAAACACATTGCCTAGTAAATGGTACTAAAAAAATGTTACATATGCTAGTATATGGTACTGAAAAAATGTTACATATGGTACTAAAAAAAATGTGTAAAAAGAAGACATATTTTACTGTTTTTCAGTGGTAAATTTTGTTCAAATGTCAAGTACCTGCCAGTGTGTCCTGCTTTAGGTCATGCTCCAATGACTTAGATCTTGTTTTTTAAGTAGAGGTAAACCTCTGAGAAATTTCAAGTTTGTTTCAGACTACAGCAATAAGTGAGTATGGAAGTAAAGCAGGTTACAGTATTGAATATATATATATATTGAATATATATATATTGAATATATATATATATATATATATATATATATATATATATATATATGTGTGTGTGTGTGTGTGTGTGTGTGTGTGTGTGTGTGTTGCAATAAAGCAAAGCACAATTTAAAAAGATATGCCTGCATGTTTTGCCTGGTCTTTATCAATCTTACTGGTGACAGGGTTACTCTTTTACAATTTATTCTACCATTTAGTTGAGCCAGAACTGCCATACTTCTTGTATTATTGGATAAAACTTTCTTAAAACTAGTGTTTTCTGATGCTTTCAAGCCAAAAAATGTAACTCACTCATATACATACTTATTAACAATGCACAAACAGGAATGCCAATGACATGAGGGTGAAGAGTGGGAAACTAGACAAGTAGAGTTGTTTTTTTTTTTTAATTCTATTTGGCACATAAAATTAGATTAGAAACAAATTTAACAGGGGAAACAAGCACATATGGTTAGGAGTTTTGTTTTGTTTTCACTCATTTGCCAAAGTATTTAAAAGTTGGCAAATGTTTCCCCAATATTTATAATGGAGAGGGAGAGCAATGGAAGTGTTATTACCTTTACACTCAGGAGGCTCACCACTCCATTTGTCAAGCTCAACACAGGTAAGCTGTCTCTCTCCAACAAGCGAATACTCATCTGGTCCACCGGAAAGCTTACAACTGTAAGTTACTGTTTCATGGTATACAAATGCAACCTTGTGACTATTGCTGAAATCTCCATTTGGTATTTTTGCAGGTGGTTTACACAAAATCCCTTAAAAAAGGGGAAAAAGAAAGAACAAAAAGGCAAAATAAATAGTAAAAGATTAAGACAGCATTATGCCCTCAAGAAGTTCATTAACATATGATTTCTACATCTAATAGTAAATTCAATATCTATTGGAAACACGTTTCTATTAAAAATGTTATTATCCCAATTCAAACCATCAATAGAGAAATGAAATTTTAGGAGAAACCACCCCCCCCCTTTTTTTTTTAAGTCCCCACAGAAGATAACTGTATGAAAGACTTGTGTGTATCTGTAAGGCCATGCTGCTTTTTCTAATTATGGCAATTTACTGAGAAAATATGATTTAGAAAAACTCAGTGCTAGTTGAGAAATGCTACATCCTTTTCTGAATCAGTGGTTCTCAGGCATACCACGATTTTGTCTTTTCTCATGTCATCCTTAGAGTGTCCAGTGAAATTTTCCAATGCCTTCAGACTCATAATGCAACAGAAAGAATCTGGAGGGCTTCCTATAAGGCAGATACTGAAGCAATTGGAAAAAATGTAAAGTAATGACACTCTTCCCTTTGTTTTGGAAATGTTTGATCTTATGAAAAAAAAATGTTGCATTTGTTAACATGTATTGAGCTTATTGTTCTTAAACATGAAATAACAAGTAATTATTTAAAAAACTTCTCTGCTTTAATCTCAATATAAGGAATATCAATAGCACTAACCCACATGCATAAAATCCTTGTGGGGTCTTAATTGTAATGCATTCAGGGGTCCTCAGGCCATAAAGTTTGAGAGCTGCTGTCAATTCTAAAGACAGAATGTACTTACTTTGACAAGTTGGTACATTATCACTCCATTGCACTTTATCTCCAGAGAGTTCACAATATATAATTTTTGGTCCGAATAAATAATAACTATGTGAGGAAAGAAATGATTATTGTTTCTTTATCAGTTAACAAGAACACATAATAACGAAGAAGCTTTTCTATGGTTGTTTTCTGCACTACCGTAATTGCAGGGAGAAGTTTCTGAAGTGACAGGGATTGAATGTGCTAACTAAATCTGCAATGTAAGGAAATGGAGAGATTCTTCATAAGAACACACATTAGCCTAGAGCAGTGTCTAAATCTGTCATGCCTGACCGCTGTAGCAAGAAATACACATTTCTATGCAACAGGCATTTTGTCAGTAATGCTTGCAGACTTCAATATCCAATCACAACAACTAGATTTAAAATAAGTAAGGCTGAAAATAGAGGACTTCCAGAACACGATCAACTAGATCTCACAGAGTACCACAGAACAAAATACACATTCTCCTAAGCACGCATGGCAAAGCTTCCAGGATAGACCATACATTGAGCCACAATTTAATATGAAATAATCGATAGGTTTTAAAAAGACAGATATCATACAACTAGAGGCCCAGTGCATGAAATTTGTGCAGGAGGGTGGAGGGAGTGGTGTGTCCCTCAGCCCAGCCTGCACCCTCTCCAATCTCTGATCCCTCCAGGAATTTCCGACTGCCTGTGAAGGCCAGGCCCTCAGACATCCCTCTCATAATCCAGTACTGCTAGCTCCCAACTGCTTGCCTGCCAGCCTCCCTGATTGCCCCTAACCACTTCTGCGTGCCAGCCTGATAATCCCCTAACCTAGGGGTGTCGAACTCAATCAGAGAAGGGGCCAAAATCTAAAATCCAGCCTAAATTGCGGGCCGAATGGTTTACTGAACAGTCATAAACTGTCATTGTGATAGAAACGCAGCGGAGTGCAGTGATGACAGCGTGGTGCGGGCCACATTGCAAGGCCTGGCGGGACGGATTTGGCCCACGGGCCTTGTGTTTGACACATGTGCTAACCACTCCCATGCCAACCATATTGAAACCTAACTGCTCCCCCGCCAGCCTGTTTGCCCCCAACCTCTGTCCTCTACCGGCCTGGTCACCCCTAACTGCCCTCCCCTGCAGAGTTGATCACCCCCAATTGCCCTCCCTTGTAGGCCTGGTCCCTCTAAACTGCCCTCCCTTGCAGGCCTGGTGCTTCCCAAATGCCCTACCCTGCTGGCCATCTTGTGTCCATCTAGGGGCAGGATCTTTGACCACAAGGGGGCAGTTATGTTGTGTGTTAGAGTGATGGTCGATATGCATATTGCTCTTTTATTGGAAAGGATGTATCTTCTCTGACTACAATGGGATAAAGTTGTGAAACAAAACCTTCACAGACTAATGTTTTCCTGAAGGAGCAGGTTTCCTGACTAACCATGTGCTCCCCAAAAAAAGGACCAGGTCCTGGGGCATGCAGTCTGAACCACCAGCAGCAGCAGAGACAGATGAAGGCAAGCATTCCCGCCCTCCTGGTTTAATGGGTTCTCTTACAGCTTTGAGGAGGAAGATGTAAGTTATTCTGAAGGAAGTTACATGGGCTACAGAAGGGGGGGCAGAAGAAGGGTAAGTGGGGCTAGTCCTGGGATAGGTGCATAGATGGTAGGAAGAAGTGTTTGCTGCTTTTGAATGGTTTATTGGCAGCAATCGGAAAGGTTGCTGTGTAAGTAGAACGCAGTGAAATCTGGTGGTCAGCTAGCCCTTGCTGAATAGGAGCCATAAGAGCTCTTCTATTCACATGATTCTGAAGTAGCTCAGGAAGTGCATTCAAAGTTTCAACACACATTTCATTAGTTCCTGCCATTTCTCCTGCTAACTGATGAACTCCCTGTCTCTCTTTTTATCCTGCAGCCTACCATGTAGTTTAATGTAGGACCATGTCACCAGGATTATTACATTTTTTAATGACTATGATAGGCTTATGGTTATCATACAATACAATTTTGCTTTCCTTCAAGGTACATTTCTTTCTATTGACTTTACAACTTTTCAGTCTCCATAAAAAGCCCAAGGGTTGGTTGGCTGTAAGTACAACTTGTTCCACATACAGCAAGATGAAAACAACAGAATGGAAATGCTTGAGAAGAAGAGAACCAGACCAAAAATGGGACCAGCAACGTTGACCTTCTTCTTCCAAGGAGCAACTTACTTACTCATCATGACATGTGAAGTGAACTTGTGAGCCAAACTCTATAGTTCCATTCGCGTAGATTACTTCACCATTTGAAGGTTCTCCTATCTTTAGACATGCCTTTTCTAAAAGGAAAATTTTCAAATTTGTTGTTTGTTTTTATCAATGCCAAAACAGATATGAATCAAAATAAAAATTCTACATTGTGCTATTAGAGCAATGGAAATGGTTTGTCTTATTTATCTTTATTACATTTTATTTTACTTATTGGGGTGACATTGGTTCATAAGCTTAGATAGGTAACACGTTTATGTTACACTAGAGGCCCAGTGCATGAAAACTATGCACGGGTAAGGTCCCTCACAGCTGACGGGGGTGGTGGTGGACAGGGGCGGGGAGGATCCCTTCCCCTGGCTGCCTGCCCTATTGCCAACGCCCACCAATGTTTCGTACCTTCCTCTGGTGGTCAGCACACGTATAACTTCTGGTCATTAGAATTCTCCCCAGTAGGGACAATTTGCATATTAGCCTTGTATTATATAGGATGATCTGTATATGGTACCGTCTGATCAGCACCCAAAGTCAAACCATCTCCCATCACATATATGTGGTCCCCTTTACCCTTCCTCCCCCAGACTCTCTAACTCTTCCCTCTAACAATCACCAAACTGTGGTCTGTGTCTACAAGAATTCAGATTTATATCTCACATATGAGCGAAATCATAGGTGCTTAGCTTTTTCTGACTGACTTATTTCGCTTAGCATAATATTCTCGAGGTCCATCCATGCTGCCACGAATGGCCAAACTTAAGATTCACATGGACCCAGAGCATTGATGGCCAAGTTAAAAGTTCTCTGGAGATTTTCAAAGCCTGACAAAGTACATTGTTACCTAAAATGTACATCCACACGAGGAAGCCATCGTGGTAATAATGGAATATGCAAGTCTACAATCTTTAAAGCTATAAAAATGAAAATGAAAATGAAAATGCTGTGTACTTACTTGTGCAAGCCTCCTGGAGAGCAGGTGCCCACGTGCCATCAGTTTGACACTCAACTTCAACAGGAAGAGCAGGAACAATACGCTTGTATCCTGGGCGACACTCATATTGTATTCTTGTCCCAGCAGTATAAGGAGGTCTATAAGGATTCTTTGTTTCTATTGATTGGTATGTTGGTGGGTCATCACAGGATTCTGGGCATGAGAGAATAAGAACAGGAAACTACAGTATTTTCTTTTCCACCAGCCACAGAGTATGGCCTGACAGCAGGCAGGTTGTAGAAAATACGTGGAAGGCCCTTGCTGAGATTTTAAGTGATTGTGCCCAGCTTTTACCAGATGATGAGCTATGCTTGCTTTTAACCACATCCTATTAGCGTTTGGTTTCTTTGGACATAACCTGATTATTCTTTCAACAGTAAATTGAAGACACAGCAGCAATAGTTTGGGTTTCAAATATATTTATAGAGTTGTGCCCTTCCCATTTTTTCTAAGTTCATTTCACACCCAACTCCCTCCCTAAGAAAGCTCCTATAGTCAATAGCCCTCGTTGAGAGTACTCTCCCATGAAACACAAACTGATGAAACTTGTTACTTCGGGCTCAGTCTCCTCCCAGAAGGCAAAGTTCCTAGAGGTCAGGGATCATATGTCTTCTGTTCCTACTACACCCTGTGCCCAGTGTGTGCTCAAGAAATGCTATGGTAGGTGCTGACTTATCAAATAAGGATTGTGTGTTTTAGAGATCAAAATAAATATGGACTAAATATATTAAAATAGATGACTTTGTGTGATATGTTTCACATCAGTGAACTGAGTAAATAAAGGTCAATGAAATGTCAAAATGTATAACTTTCACATTATTTTAAGTTTAATTTATTCTTCTTTCGCTAATCAACGGATCATGCTTGGCCTCAGAGGTTCTCTGAGGTAGCTGTTTAAACTGTGTTACAATATTGCTATGCCATTAAAATTTGTTATTTCTCAGTTTTTGGTAGTTTTTTTTTCTTCCTGGAATAGTACCTTTTTCACTTTGGTCATTCCTCTTCTTTTACATTGACTGTGGGGTTGACAAACTAACAAAGCTGATAGGATTAGTATGAAAGGTAATGTGATGGAGACACATTAAGTAAAGTCCTGAAGGGCTAACAGCATGCAGAGGTCCCTTCTGTAAGATTTAAGATCTAAGAAAGGAGCTAGATCTATGCTGATCCCCGAGGAACCTCTTATGCCCTGGATTGGTCTATGGCAGAGTGATGTGAAACTTTAAAATATATATTTGTATTTCTATCAAATCACAAACACTATGTGACTGTTTTTAAATCCAAAGAGGTAATGTTGGTTAATAACATTATATAAATTTCAGGTGTTACAAAGTTGTAACAGGCCATCTGGAGACTCTACCTGTGAAGTTTAGTCCGTTTCCCTCCCCTCCCTTCACTCCCTCACCTCCCTTCAACCTCCTCACCACTTCCCTTCGCATAAGCACCATCTTGTTCTCTGTAACTGTGAGTTGTGTTGGTTGCTTTTTTTCATTTGTTGCTTTTTTTGTATCCCACAGGTGTGAAATCATAGTTTTTGCTATTTTCCTGATGAAGGCCACTAGAGCTAATAAACTTCCATCTTATGACTGCTTTCGTTCTATCCCATACCTTTTTGTAAGGTTTTGGTTTTATTTTCATTTTTCTCAAGGTAGTTTTGTTTTTCTCTTGGACTTGAATGTTTACTGGCCAGGTAGCTCCTACTGAATATTATTATACTTCGTTTTTCTGGAACTCAGTAGTTATAAAAGAATAGTGGTACCATGGCAACCACAGGCATTTCTGTTATTTACCAGTTACCCAACCCTCTTTTCATTTAGTCTCTTGGGCTGACACCCTTGCCCTACCCCTACCTGAGCATGTGGGCAGCAGGAGCTGTAGGGCCAGCAAAAGAATCCCCAGGAAGCCCCAGGAAGAGGGACTCTCCGGGCAGGGGGAAGATGCCCTGCATGGCTGGGAAGACACCTTCATTTTCCCCACCTCAGAGGGAAAGCTCAGGGACTGTGAGTAACTTGCCTTTTTGAGGGCAGCTCCTGGATGCAATAATCCCCAGAAGGTGTCACCTGCATGATGGCATGTGGGCGTGGCCTGAGCATTTCCAGCGGAGGGGGCGGGACTAATGGCCATCTGCGGGGCGGAGCCTCCGCACCTGGCTGTGCTTTAACCTTGAAGGGAATGGAGCAAAGCCTGGTCCACATCTCACCTCCCACCAGCCTCCTGCTGGCTGAACTGGCAATAGTTCCCACCTGTGGCAATAAAGGCCACAAATTTGAACACAATTTAGGTGAAATAACGTGTTAAGCCTCCAGCCAGATCATTCTTCACATGAGATGTTGGCCCAGGCCTCACTGAGAAGCCAGCATATAGTTCGGGAGGAGCAGGTGTGGTGGGGGCAGAGGGGCAGAGGAAGACTAGTGTGTCCAAATATTGGGGAGCTTAAGAGTTTTCTTTGCCCTAGCTGGTTTGGCTCAGTGGACAAAGCGTGGGCCTGCGGAGTGGGGAGGTAGGGGGAGGGGTGCGGGGGTCACGCGTTTGATTCTGGCCAGAGGCACATTCCCAAGTTGCAGGGTTGATCCCCAACGGGGGACATGCGGGAGGCGGCCAATCAGTGGTTCCCTCTCATCATTGATGTTTTGATTTCTTCCTCTCTGGGAAAAAAAAAAAAAAAAAAAAAAAAAAAATATATATATATATATATATATATATATATATATATATATATATATATATATATGTTTTCCTTGGGGAAAAAAGCTATACTTTGGGTTTATTCTCTTGAGACAGCTCCTCCCCACCTTCTGATCAGTTCCACCCAAGGAGCCTGCACAGAGCGATGCTTAGCCGCCACCCTTACAGGGTCTGCCTTAGCTCTCCCAGCGCTGGGACCTGGCATTGCTTTCTGCTGCTTGTTTCAAACTCCTCACTGTGTGTTCTGAGGACCCACGGCCTTGGAGGCTGGTCTCCTGTGGCTGCGGTAACAAGTCACAGCAGACTGGGAGGCTCAGTGTCTTCCGGCCTCTAGAAACAATGCTACAGCCTGGGCAGCTGGTAAATAACAGAAATGCGGTCCTCACAGCTCAGGAGGCTGGGAAGCCCAAGATCCAGGCCCTGGCAGTGCGGGCATCTAGTGAGAGCCAGCTTTGTGGCTCATGGGCAGTGCCTTCTAGCGGTAAGTTATGTGGTAGAGGGCTGAGGGCCTTTCCTGGGATTCTTTCATAGGGACACTAATCCCATTCATATGCTCTCTGACCTAGTAACTTCCCAGTGGCCCCACCTCATAATGCCATCACCTTCAATATTAGGATTTAAAATATATATATTATTGTAAAAAAATCAGTAAATATATATATATGTATATATATTTTTTACTAATTTTTTTACAGAGAGGAAGGGACAAGATAGAGAGTTAGAAACATCAATGAGAGAGAAACATCAATCAGCTGCCTCCTTCACACTCTCTACTTGGTATGTGCCTACAACCAAGGTACATGCCCTTGACAGGAATCGAACCTGGGACCCTTGATTTCGAAGGTGTATGCTCTATCCATAGAAGCCAAACCGGTTAGAGCAGAGGGTAGGATTTAACACAGGAATTTGGAGGAACACAAACGGGCACACAGTGTCTCAAAACAACACACATTTATTCTTTTCGTTCTGGAGGTCATAAATCAGAAATCCGGTTCACTGGGTGGAAGTGAAGGTGTGGGCTGGACCACCCTCACCAGGGGGGCTGGGCGAGAAGCAGTTCCCTTGCCTTTTCCAGCTTCTGGAGCTGCATTCTTTGCTTTTTGG